TGTGTCGAACTGTCGCCTTTTTATAGCGTCAACATCGGACTCGATGACCAATTACTGCTTACTGAACCGTAGCACTATGCAAATGTCATGTGGCGTGATTCCCAGCCGACCAATTAGCCATCACCATCCGTAACGTTTTGCAAATCTGTGATTCCCAAGCCATAGTCTTATGCAAATCATGCTGTGTGGCGTAATTGTCTGCTGACCAATCAGTGGCTGTACTTTCAAAAAGCCAACGGCCACTTTCAACCATCTGTCGATGACCGTTACGACTAAAAAAAACTTTGCTAGGTCTTACTTTCAGGGGGAGGTCTTATATTTCGCAATTCAGCAAAATCTGTGCTAGGTCTTATTTTCTGCGAATGTCTTATTTTCGGGGAAACACGGTATGATAGAAATTAAAAAAATATTTATTCTACAGGATTATGATTGTTCAGTCAAATGCCGAAGTATCACTGTATTTGATTAACACAATTTTGATATATGCAGCAGCATCAAGGGATCAATTAATTGCATTAATCAAGGGATACCTGTAGAAGTCAATCAGCTCTCCAATTATAAAAATGGCACATTGTTAAGAATAAGTTAAAATTTATTCCTTGTTTTTTAATGTAAATTTTTAGTCTGCATTTTTAAAAGAAAATCCCTTTATTGTTATATCTCGAGTTACATCATTCTCGATTATATGTCGTTTGTCAAAAAAATATATGGAAAAATAAAAGCCAGGTTTAAGTCATTTTATTAGACTTTACGTCTGTCTGCCACAAATATTGAAGTCATAATATCACTGGAAAAGTGTTAAAAGCACATAAAATCATATTAAAATACATACATTTACAGTAAATGTTATATAATCATCATAAATCGTAGAGAACAAAATATGAAGACATCTGTGACTCCGTGTAATCATCTTATTTAGCAATCTTTAAGAGCTCAATATTGGCATTTTCCATGGTATTTCCAATATCTACTGTTTGGCGTCATTGTCAGCGCCACTCGATATTGGTAAATTTAACATAAATTAGTTTATTTTTTACTATTGCAAAATAATTTTAATAACTGTAATTGTTATTTAACCTTACAAAATCATCTTATTTTATAATGTCTTAGAGCAAACCACATTCACAAATAAAGAGTCCACAATGTACTGTAAACATTGCCAAATTGTAAACATGTCTATTTACAAGTATGTACAGTATGTACTGTACATGTATTCATAAATTTAGATTACTTTTTTTCTGTACTGTATTAAAAACTAAAATTTATTTGTTTGTAAGCTTAAAATAGATTCTTATTAACCATATATTATTAAAAATGCATTTATAAATAAACTACAGAACAGGGAATGATTATTTGTGGTTTAGCCAGTGACAAGTAAATTCGACTTACATCATTTTTCAACTTAAGTCGCCTCTCCTGGAACCAATTACCGATGTAAGGCAAGGTATACCTGTATATTATTTGCTGTGACTTATCGAAAATGTAGTGTTTATTGAAAGGCATCCTGATTGTACTGTACATGTGAATGCATACAAAGCAACTCTTAACACCTATGTTAAGATATAACATTGCTTTTTAATCTTCTTAATTAACAGCTATACCCAAATATGATAGTTTTTAACTTAAATAAATAAGTAAATATTGTATTGTGTTTTAGTTAAATTTTACATTTTTGAAAACTAGTTGGAATTCTTTCCATTTAAAATAATGGAAAACAAGCTTCTAGTTATTATTTTTTCTGCAGGACATCTGATTTTCAGAAATAAATTACTAATGTTAAATAGGAGATGCATGTACTTCTGGATGAAATTGGAATAATGATAAAGTTTGAAAGTTAAATATCATAAGTACCTTTTTGACCATCCTCATCTGAAGCTTGTACTGAATCAGAATGGCTAATCTTTCTTGGTCTTTCAGTGTCTGATCCTAAATTAAGTTATTGTAAAGATTATTAATTACTATAACATCATTACATCTGAATTTCATCATTAATAAATCTGAATTTTTATCAACAAAATAAAACAATTACAGAGAATTTACACAAACATCACAAAAATATAATTAATCCAAATAAATATCAAAAGTCAAAAACTGCAGAACCCCAACGCAATAACAAGTATACAAATTTGTATTCTCTTCTTACACAATTACAGAAATGTGACAGATATTTTTTAAATTACATCTCATGATTCATGTGATGTAATTCAGTTATCAAATAAAATATTTATTAGCTGATGCAACATTAAATTTTTTGAACACTAATAATACTTCAATTTTATCCAGGCTACAGAATTTTGGTGTACTTCTGCTTTGTTTCCAATGTGTGATGTGACACTATTTGCAAGTGTTGTCAACATGTTACACAAAAGCAATCAGCATGCATAAAATGCTAGTATCAGGAATTACAGAAGCATAGATTTTTAAACTGTTTGTTCAAGTATGAAAAGTGTCTTGTACTTTTAGGGCTGTTTTGAAAAAAAAACAGCATAAATGTGTCTTCACAAAAACAGTGAAAATTCAATGAAGTAGGTAACAAAATAGACAGTAACAAATGTCTTGTCATACCATTACAAAAACAACAAAGTAACTTATTAAAGTAGAGAAAATTCAGCCACATCCGTAACAAAATAGATGCTAATAAGACTGTTTTGTTAAACATTGTGTCTAAAGCAGTGACATGCAGTCCATGGAAGCTGTACAAATGCCGCTTCCCTTGTATTTTCTAAAGTATAAATACATATTGTGCGAATATTTTCATAAACAAGTTCTTATATCTTTGTTTCATATCAATGTATCTATTTTAGAATTATAAACTGTTTATTTTTGTCATTTCCAGTATTTATAAGTTTTATGGAAACACAACTAGCTTCCCTATCATCAAATGTCAGTACAAATCACTGATCTAAAGTAAAAATAACTGAAATGAATAACAGAACAGCTGTTATTAGGAATATCTGGTTATGCCATTGCTTTACATGCTAGACAAAAAAGAATTTAACTGAAATGGGCATCAAGATAGACATTACATCTTTTTACTTATAACACTGATTTGCATGCTACACAAAAGAAAAATAACCTAAATGTAATACATCCAAAAAATTGTAAAATTTTTGTGGGTATGATTAATATATAAATTTTAATTTTAAAGATCTAAAATTGAATAAAAAATCAGATTAAATTATTTCTTAAAGTAAAGCAATTAAATTGAATTAATGCTGTTTTATATTTATTTTTGATTCTAAGGCTATTTACTTAAAATCACATTTATTTTAAAATTTACAGTAAATTCATTTCACATACAATATTTTTGCCATGAATATGATACTATATATTATTTTCCTGTTTTTTAAATTTTATTCTGTGTTTATTCAGTTAAGGTAACACTGAAGAGAGCATAAGTTCAGATTTAACACAGGAAAATTGTCAGATAATTGATACATGATATTATAATTGTCATTATCTGTATTTAAACAAACAATATTTAAAAAAAAAAAACATAAAAAATCCAAAAAATAAATATTCTCTCTATTTCTTATTGTTTTGTTGAATTTTCTTAAATATTATGTAAAATGCCATCCAATTTACTGTAGTTTATTTTTATTTTCTAATGATTATTGCACTTTAAACCATAACAAATAAAGTTACCTACATATGTCATTAAAGTTCAAAAACAGTACATGTATAAATAGCTACATCCTAAAACTTATTAGTCCACAGTAACTATTTAATTTTCCACAATAAACTTTATGAATTTGGATTTCAATCATCAAAAAATAGCAAAATTGTTATTTTCTTAAATTAATTTGTAATATTATAATATATTAAGAATATCATCAACAGTATAGAATATTTTTTCAATAACTTAAGATTTATAAATTGCTTTAAAAAGAACAAACCTTTCTCTGATTCATCATCACTGTCTGCAATTCTTTTTCGTTTTCTGGAAACAACTTCTTCATCACTTCCTTATAAGATGAAGCAGAATTAGTGGAATATAATCAATTTAAAATTTAATTAATTAATATTAACATTATAAGGATCTTATAGAGATTGCTAAGTCCTACCTGATTTGACTTCTTGGTCTGATTGTTCATCTTTTTCAGAAAGAGCTTGATCACCATTTACAATATGATTTTCTTCTTCTGCTTCAGAATGATCACTTCCTTCAGCTTCTATATGTTGAGGTTGTTCACCTTCATCTGATCTTTCGACATCACTATGTTCAACATTCATGTCATATCCTTCACCTTCTCCATCTGAATGTCGTCTTTCACTTCCTGATCTTTCATTTTCTGCATCTGAATGATGCTGCTCTTCACTATCAGATCTTTCAACTTCTGCATCACTGCTACCTCTGTGCACTTCTGCATCTGACTGTTGTCCATCACTAGCATATTGTTCAACTTCAGCATCAGACTGTTGGCCTTCACTTTCAGAACCTTCACTTTCTGATCTTTCTTCAGCTTCTGACTGATGCCTTTCACTCCCAGATCTCTCTATTTCTGCATCTGATTGATGTGCTTCACTTCCAGATCTAGGCCCTTCAATATCTGATTGATGTCCCTCACTACCTGATCTTTCCATTTCAACATCAGATTGAAGTTCTTCACTTCCAGATCGCTCTCCTTCAGCTTCTGAATGATGTCCTTCACTGTCTGATCTTTCTACTTCAGCATCAGACTGATGACCTTCACTTCCAGATCGCTCAGCCTCAGATTCTTCACTTTTTTCTCTTTCAGACTGTGCTTCAACATCAGGTTCCATTCTATTTTCATATTCATTTCTACCATATTGTCCTCTAGAATGGTTACTTCTGTTTGAGGCATCATCAGAGTGACTACTTCTTTCATCATCTGAGTGGGCTTGTTCTACATCAGATTCATTTCTACCTTCTGAACCACTTGCTTCAACTTCAGAACCATCACTTCTTTCAGCAGCTTCTCCATCTGACTGGCCACCTTCATCTTCTGAATGGCCATTCCCAGCTGAAAATTCACTTCCACTTTGTCTATCTATATTTTAAAATTAGTTATAAAGTTTAAATTTAAAAATTCTGATATTTTTTCATTTATTAAAAATCTGAAAACAATTCATTAAAAGCTAAAATTTATCTAAAATCAAAATTTGATTACAATGTCATACAATTTTTCTTTCTTACTACAATAATAAGTATATAATGTTATTATTTCATACTATTTTAAGTATGTTTCTCTATTAGTATGATGTGTATGTATAAATGTGATTTACATAAACTTATAAAGGTGTGATTTTGAAGTAATGCATTGGATTTGTACAAATCAACTGTATTAACAAAAGGCTTTTGCTGTTTAGCAAAAATAAATATATTTGAAGTTAAATAAATGTAACTTATCTTTTCTGCAAAAATAAAATTAAAAAAAATGAAAATAAAAATATAAAAGAAAAAAAATTCTTAAAAAGCTAAAATTTTAACTAAGGTATGCCACAAGTTAGTTTGTTTTGTTAGTTATGGTAATGCAACACTTGGGTGATGCCTTCCAGAGGCCTTTTAAGGGTAACTGGCCCCTATTTAGGCATTAAAGATGTGGAGAAAACCTGCAAAACTCCGTGGCCAGCCCATCTTGGCACTACATAAAACCATGACTGAACTATCAGCATTCGAGGAACGGAACCGCTCAGCCACCGGCGGGCTGGCACAGGTTAGACTCAAACTGAGCCGTTATCACTATGCCACTCATCCTTACATAAACCCAATATAACTCGAAACCATTTACAATCGAGGATTTCCAAACTGAACTAATGACGACTGTTTTATCTCTAACATAACTCAAGTGTACGGAGCACGGATCTCAATTATGGGAGGCCACAGTTTCGGTCGGTAGGCTATTTTAACATCAATAAGATGTTACTTTTATATTTGCTCTTTGTAAAAGTAAAGAAATAATACAAAATCAACATTAATGCATGCATCATCCCAACTAAGTGAAGAGATCTATCATAAGCATAGTTATTCATTTACATATGTAACAATAGAGCAATAGATCATACACTAAATGGCATCCAAAAAAGTATTTACGTACAATTAACTGTTCTACATACAAATGAAATAAGTGAAGGAGCGGAACATCTGATTATATATATCATGTGCGACGTAGAAGCTAGCAATCTAATTAAAATGGGCGCCAATGAGAAGAATCATATACCGATTGTTATTAACTAAATTTCGAAAATATTATTTTTATATACCCGATAAAAAATATGTTCTTCTTCTCCTCCCATCTTAAATGGATAGTAAGAAATATGTTTCACATAAGCAAGCGATAAATAATATAATTTACCTTCGTTAGAATAATCGCTTCCGAATAATTCGTCCATTTTCAGCTTTAAATTCTTTTATCTCACTTTTCACGACGAATTTCAAAGGCAGCGTCCGTCGAGTTGCCAGATAGAGTCATAATTGACTCGAAGGTCTTTGAAATTTATTGTGCCTCAAAAATTTCCCCACAACAATATAAATATTACAGATAAAATTTTTAATAATTTCAATATTCGTAATTTCTTATGAAATGGCTTTTTTTTTTCTTTCTTTTATTTTCACTTAATGCTTTGTTTTATTTCATAATTTAAAAATACGTAAGATACCCAATATTAGTGATGAACGATACGGTGATTTTCCGATATTTCGTGATCAGTGATCAGTGGTCGTTACTTTTTAATCACCGTGATTTTTCTTGATGTCTATGATCACGGTTTCACTGTCACATAGCCAATCAGAATCAAAGTTGCATCTATGGCACGTTGTATGGTATTTTCTCTCAATCGTATAAATCCAGGCCCGTCGAGAGGGGGAGCTGGGAATTTTATCCAGGCTCGATGAAACTTAGGGGTCCGTAGTTATTCCAAATATTATAAAATTAACGTTATTATTACTAACAGAAAATAAAATCTTTAAGACTGCTTTTTATAAATAACTAGCTGAGGTACTCGGCTTCGCTCAGGAAAATGATATATTAAGGCAGTGTTTCTCAACGGGGGCGATATCGCCCCCATGTGGGCGTTTTTCCATGTTGAGGGGGCGATTAGTAACACTTTATATTTCGGGGAGACGAAAAACAATTTTCTGGGCGATATAGTAAAACATTATAGTAAGAATAATTAGATATTGTATTTGTTATATCGTACAATAATTAAATAACATTATACTAGTCACTAGTCTATTCAATGCAGTACGAATTTGGCGTTAGTCTTGGCTCTCGGCGTCGGAATTTTGAGGTGAAGGGGGCGATACTACATTACGGTTTTATTGAAGGGGGCGACGATTCGTTAGAGGTTGAGAAACACTGTATTAAGGAAAGATAATATATTCCATACGTATAAAGATGTATATACCGAGAAAGAATATAAACTTTTAATAAACTTATAATTGATATGACTAAAAACAATTTTACATTGAAAGAAATTTCGGGAGCTTTTTGACAATCTGACTCAGGCGAAAATAACAATGCTAATACGTTTATACTGCGTACACTTTGCTGAAATAACAGGCTGATGAGAATGTCGACTTTTCCCAGTTAATTAGTATGGGGATTTTTGAATCGTGTAAAATTTTCACGAAGATATTCTAGATTATTCATATTTTGCGATTTTTTTTAACGGTAGAAATAAGATCTTTGCGAAACAGATCATCTAAAAGGTGTAAAAATACATGACAGATTACGTAAGTTCCGCTGGGGTGTTTTTATGCGGAACCAGTAGGATTGCATTGGCTATTACATCATAAAATGTTTATAATGTAATAGCCGATCAAAGTATTTAATGTGTTCTTTAAAAGAAGAAAGAGCCTGTCTGGACCTGGCGACATTCGGATGATACTTAACAGGAACGCTGTTTTTTTAAGAAACGAATTAAAAGTAAATGTATATTACATATTCTTACAAGTAATAGTTCAAGTTTTTTATTTAAGAAAATTTAATTACAGTATAACCATTATAAATTGAGTCAATTACTAACTTTATTTCCAGTAATTAATTTGATAGATTTCACAGTTTGACAATAATTTTGTGGTCTATGTTGATCAAAATGACTAAACAATTTTTAATTTTTATAGCTGCTCAATTCTCTCAATCTATTCAGTACACGTCCTACAAATTTTGTCTGCTACTTTTACTTTTCCGGCCCTGTTATATATAACAGAGGGAAAGTATGGAGAGATTTTTACATTTTTGGACTCGGGACCTTGAAAGATCAAGAAATGCAAAACATTTTGGGTTTTTTCCTGTATGGATTTTTTTAAAACTCCGTCCTGTGGCACTAAGAGGTCCTCTTTTAGCAAGTCCATTTGGGTTCGGCCAGGCCCACAATGGGGCGGTCGGGTGGTGAGGGACGGGGACCGAAATACCCGGTCAAATCACCCCCCCGAAATATTCCTGGGGATTTTTTCGACCCGTCCGGATTCGATCCCTGGTCCTCCAGAAAGGCAGGCTACCACCTTAACCGCTCGGCCATCTGCCCGTCTTTGTATGTTAGTGTGTCTGGAGGGCACGTCACTTTCTCTTTGAAGCTTAATAACTCCCATAATTTTTGTCGAAAATTTCTGAAATTTTGCAGGAAGGTTTCTGTATTAGGGAATTGATGCTATTAAATTTTGGCGACTAAAGATGAGGGATGGAGAAATAAAGGGGATCGTGTGTCATATCTCGACTGGGATCGAACTTAATGACGATTTTACTCGTTATTAGATTTACAATTTTTTTTTTTATAAAACTCATTCCTACCTTCAAAATTAAGTTTTTTGGTATTTTATAATAATTAAAAATATAGTTTTTAAAATAAAATATCATAACAGATGGTACCACACACAATTTTATTTATTTTGATTAATAAATAACAGATGGCGTCACATACAGTTTTAAATGTTGGCGGGAAAGTTAACAGCTTGTTGAATTTTTTTTTTAAAAGTCATGACTTATTTTACATTTGACCATTTTATCTAAGACAATTTAAATTCCGTTTTATTATATCAAATTTTATTATTATTTGTTGTTTTGTAACAGGCAGAATACAATATTGCTGTAAATTATACATTAATAATTTAACATAGAACTTATTCCTGATCTACATCATTATGCTTATAATGAGTCTAATTAAGGATTATAATGATAATGATGCTGTGATGTGAAAATTCAATACAAGCTAAATTAAATTGATCTCTACATCTGTTAATTAATTTGAACTGATATTAAAGTTACAAAAACTATTTCAAAAAAGTTTTGCATTCTGAAATATTATGAAGAAATAGTAAAAAAATCCAATACCAGAACATCAACATTGAGAAAAGTTTTTTGACAGAAAATGCAATGCTATCTTTGTGATAGGAAAAAAAAAGGCAGCATTTTGATTTAATAAACATAGTAAGGAGTATAAGTTATGGCTTGAATTACATATTTAAGACATATTTATTTCTTTTTTTAAATCAATCCTGTAGTTTTCATAAATTCTAAAAAATAAAATGTTAAACTAAACAAAAATTTAGTAATAAGTAATAAAAACATCATTCAACAAACTAAAAGAATACTATATTTATTAAAATGATGAAAAAAATTTACAATTAAAAATGGTTCCATGACCATGTGTTCCAGCAGTGATGGCAATCTCATAAGGATTAATCAAATAAAAAAGTTTTTGATTAAAATATATTTTATTTTAAATAAAGATGATGGTCATCAAGAAAATATTGAAATAGAGGATTAAAATTATTTGAATAAGTAAAAAATTATTTTGAAATGCTTATCAAAATTGTGAATTTAAATAAAATGCAACATCTCCTTATAACATAACAGTATTTAACATAATTTGTTATAATAAAACAATAGTTCAATTGTAGGTAATTTGAAATTACTTATTATTATTTTAAATCAAAATACAGGTATATTTAATTTTAAAAAGAATTTTAAGGGTCTTCATTTTTCTAATGTTCCTTGTTCTTATTTTTTGCAATAAAAAAATTTTTTTTAAATTTTATATAATCTAAACTATATTTGCAATACACTTCTTATATTGTAATAGTAAAATTAGATTAATGTTACCTATGGTTCCAAAATGGCCACATTTCAGTTAGGTTCATTTTGTTTCTGTTAGATTAGCTACATTTTTAGTAGACCTTTCCTTTTTTTATTTATTTTGTTCAAGAACTACTGTGAATCAATAACTAGTGACATTTGGCACTTGGCGACCTGACTGTGGCTCCTTTCCGGGAGGAGTCTGTTTGGACCACGAACAGTCAGAAGTGCAATCATTTTGGAACCATAGGTAATAACATTAATCTAAAATTATTTTCAAGCATTAAGAATTTGTATAAATAACTTATGAGATTTAATTTTTCAAATACAGTGCACTCTTGTTAATTATCATATGGGGTTGTTACTGGAAACTTCAGAATTAGAATGGCTACATATATACATACATATAAAAAAGAAAGCAAACTGAAACAAATACATATATTTAAAAAATTTTATACTGTAATTGATTCATATACAGTAAAACCTAGCTTATGTGGCCACCTTTGGGATATACAATTTCTGGCCACATAAGTGAGGTGGTCATTTAAATGGAATTATAAAAAATTTGATGTACAGAACTGTAATTAGAATACTGTAATGAATCCTGCCAGAAGTTTAAAACAGATTATAAAAAAAAAAAAAAAAAAAAAAAAGAGTACATGTGCAGTGAATTTAAGCTGTTTACAGTAGGATTCATTCAAGTATTTTACTGTATAGTAGTCCAGCGTTTCTCCAAATTTTATCTCACGCAACTCAATATATATGTAATGGTTCCATGACCCAAGTGTTCATAATGTAAAATTTTTTTAAAAATCTGGTAAACTGGAGTTGCTGTATATTATATAACAAAATAAAATTATGCATTATTGATGATAACTTCTACATGTGAAATGTAACATTTCATGAATACATTTCTATTAAAAATGGTTTGAGCCAGTTTTGATTTGTAATTAAATACCTTCAATTTCAGATTTTATTATTGAAATTTAACTATTAAAAAATGTAAAACTGACAATTATAAATAAATCAGACTGTTTCAAAATTAAAACAAGAAATCAATTACATATACACACATTCAATAATCTTAATTTTATTACTTAATGACAGTAATAATTATAAGAAAAAAGTTAAAAGTTTTTAGTACTTAACAGATGCATTTATTGTTCTTAGTTCTTAGAGAATACTGTATTTCAGTAATACAAGTATTACAAGTATTTCTGCAGAAGATAATACCATTTTGCAACTTATTAAAATTTTAATGTAATGCATTATCGGGTCGCACCCATAGTTTGAGAAACGCTGCAATAGTCTATTAGGTGGAATTGTTTAGAACTCATAGACAGAATCAATGTGTTTATGAAATAGTAGTAAAAGTTCTATTTAAATACTGTATTTTAACAAGGAAATTAAGAAAAAATTATTAAACAAAAATCACTGGATATACAGAAGTATCTAAGTATTACTAATTAAATTGGCTTTTACATCACTCATCAATATTTTTTTTCATTGAATGTTGTGAGTGACATATTAGTGATGTAAACCTATCATCACTGATTTAGTTATATTTTTACAAAATACAATCAGACTTTGTTTAAAATTATTGAACATATTCAAGTTTTTCTTCTTACTAAATTCTAGAGATAATCTTTATAGTGGACAAATTAAATTTATTTTATTTAAATGTTATCTGTGGGAAGAATTTGGCAATCTGTTCCAAAATTATAGCAGTAAAGATCAAGTCCATTTAAACAATATGTTGAGTTTAAAAATGCTGGGTTTTCCTATTCTGTTGGCCACATAAACAGGAATAAATGTCACTTTAGGACTTCTATCTTTGCCACTTAAGTGAAATGACCACTTAACTGAGGCAACCACAAAGCAAGGTTTTACTGTATTTATGTTAAAATGTAT